CACATTGTGACCGTGCAATAAATGCATAGGGTAGGTAAGGATTTTGATGACAAGCACACATTGTGACCCTGCAATAAAGGCATATGTTAGGTAAGGATTCTGATGACAAGCACACATTGTGACCCTGCAATAAAGGCATATGTTAGGTAAGGATTCTGATGACAAGCACACATTGTGACCGTGCAATAAAGACATATGGTGGGTAAGGATTTGGATGACAAGCACACATTGTGACCGTGCAATAATGGCACACAGTAGGTAATGCAATTGATGGTATATGGTAGGTAAGGATATTGATGACAAGCACACATTGTGACCGTGCAATAAAGGCATATAGTAGGTAAGGATTGGGATGACAAGCACACATTGTGATCGTGCAATAAAGGCATATGTTAGGTAAGGATTTGGATGACAAGCACACATTGTGACCCTGCAATAAAGGCACATGTTAGGTAAGGATTCTGATGACAAGCACACATTGTGACCGTGCAATAAAGACATATGGTAGGTAATGAAATTGATGGTATATGGTAGGTAAGGATATTGATGACAAGCACACATTGTGACCGTGGAATAAGAGCATATAGTAGGTAAGGATTGGGATGACAAGCACACATTGTGACCGTGCAATAAAGGCATATGTTAGGTAAGGATTGGGATGACAAGCACACATTGTGACCCTGCAATAAAGGCATATGTTAGGTAAGGATTCTGATGACAAGCACACATTGTGACCGTGCAATAAAGACATATGGTGGGTAAGGATTTGGATGACAAGCACACATTGTGACCGTGCAATAATGGCACACAGTAGGTAATGAAATTGATGGTATATGGTAGGTAAGGATTGGGATGACAAGCACACATTGTGACTGTGCAATAAATGCATAGGGTAGGTAAGGATTTTGATGACAAGCACACATTGTGACCCTGCAATAAAGGCATATGTTAGGTAAGGATTCTGATGACAAGCACACATTGTGACCCTGCAATAAAGGCATATGTTAGGTAAGGATTCTGATGACAAGCACACATTGTGACCGTGCAATAAAGACATATGGTGGGTAAGGATTTGGATGACAAGCACACATTGTGACCGTGCAATAATGGCACACAGTAGGTAATGAAATTGATGGTATATGGTAGGTAAGGATATTGATGACAAGCACACATTGTGACCGTGCAATAAAGGCATATGGTAGGTAAGGATTGGGATGACAAGCACACATTGTGATCGTGCAATAAAGGCATATGTTAGGTAAGGATTTGGATGACAAGCACACATTGTGACCCTGCAATAAAGGCATATGTTAGGTAAGGATTCTGATGACAAGCACACATTGTGACCGTGCAATAAAGACATATGGTGGGTAAGGATTTGGATGACAAGCACACATTGTGACCGTGCAATAATGGCACACAGTAGGTAATGAAATTGATGGTATATGGTAGGTAAGGATTGGGATGACAAGCACACATTGTGACTGTGCAATAAATGCATAGGGTAGGTAAGGATTTTGATGACAAGCACACATTGTGACCCTGCAATAATGGCATTTGGTAGGTAAGGATTGGGATGACAAGCACACATTGTGACCGTGCAATAAAGGCATATTGTATGTTAGGATTGGGATCACAGTACACATTGTGACCGTGAAATAGAGGCATAAAGTAGGTAAAGATTGGGATGACAGCACACTTTGTGTCCGTGCAATAAAGACATATGGTAGGTAAGGATTGGGATTATGGCACACATTGTGACCGTGCAGTGAAGGCATATGGTAGGTAAGGATTGGGATGACAGCACACATTGTGAGCGTGCAGTAAAGGCATATAATAGGTTAGGATTGGATGACTGTATACATTACGACCGTGCAAGCGTAAGCAAAAACAGAAGTGTTAATTTATTTTTTCCTTCCCACAGATTGAACACTAAACCTGTATGACCCTTTGATCCTTAAGCTGTTGAAGTATTTCCTCATCAAAGTCATTCCTCATTTTTCCAGTTGCATAGCCTTCCCTGCAATGCTAAGGCCCTACATGAAGCAAGTCTAGATTTCCCCAAGTTCAAGAATCTCCCAACTGACTGGGTCTTATTTGTTACTGTCAAAATTATACATTGTCAAGGACTAAGCGTTAGTCTTGTTGTTTTTCGTGTCTTCGGTTTTTTGTTTGAGTTGTTTTGATAAGCTGACTTTTTTATTCATCCTGGTTATATGGACATTCTTATGTTTCTGTTACTTACTGCTTTCTTATTGTTACCTGTCAATTAAAAACAGTGAACAGTTTCTCTCTAATCCACCTTCAATCCTTTTGTTCTCCTGGTTAATTAGTTTTCTTTATCAATTATCTTTATAACAATAATGACCAGACTGGTTCCTCTCTAATTCCTTTCGTGCATTTGAATTACCTACAACGTGGACATGATATATAAACTGAGTTAAGTTATCTGAACCATTGCTGTTATGGCTGGTTTACAGAGAGTTGTGTTTATCACTTCCCAGACTGGAGGTCGTCAGCAAGTCCTGTAAGAAGGGTTCATGTATCGCCTGAACAACCGCAGGCAGACTGTGACTCACTGGAAGTGTGCCTTTGCCAACTGCCGTGGAAAGATGAGCACTGTTGATGAGTTTCTTCGTCGAAACTCATTGCCACATAACCTTGGTGTAATAAAAGATCCGACTAATCCGCGGCTGACGAGTACCTTGAGGACCATGCCAGGAAAGAAGTCACTATTCAACAGATCTTCGACGATGAGATGAGAACCTTGACCGTCGATGAAGCTACCACAACATCCTCCTTTGCTAGCACTGAATCTTCCTCCACTCCCGAAGACCCTGGCTGATGTGTGCATAGAATGACAAGTGGGCTGAAACCAGTGACGGAAGTCAATTCCTCGCCACAGAGATGGTGTCGACGAGAGAATCCTGGCGTTCTCTACAGAAGACATGATGGAGACTATACAGAGTTTCGACACCGTATGCATGGATGGTACATTCTGTTCCTGTCCCAGCCTTTGGAACCAGCTGTATGTTGTTCACTGTCTCTTTGGTTCAAACATGTTCCCCGTTGCGTTTTCCCTAATACCTAATAGACCGTGTTGAATCAATATGATAACACCGGTCCACGCACCAACAATCACTTGGAGTGCTGGCACCCTAGACTGATCAGGTCCCTTGGTAAGTCCCACCCAAACCTGTTCGAGTTTATCAATAAGTTGAAGGACATTGAATCAACAGACGGAAAGAAGAAAATTCAGCTGGAGCATGGTGGTAAACCGAATGGCAGAAAACGAGTGTATCTCGAACTTGATTCTCGTTTACAGAGACTAAAGGTTGAAGGACAAAGTTTCAGTTTTTAGAAGCCTCTGGTCATCTCTTGAAATTGAAATTTTAGATTGATGATGATGATGTCATTACAATTATAATAATGCCGATACTGACAGGGGAATATGATATGATATTTCTGGTATACAAATGTCTATATTTCATGTATATCATGTTATCTACTATAAATAAAATATGAATACAATCAGTTCGACTGCATACTTTCGCTTGGATTAGATGAAAATTAACTGCATTCTGTTATTAAGTATGGTTAGACCAGTGTTTGACTTCATAATGTTTCCAGTTTTGATTAGAAGAACATTTGACTGCATCTTTTTATTTGCTCGGATTAGACGGGAGTTTGACTGTTGAATGGTTCTCTTATTGCAGTGAGGTACCATTGTGCTTTTCGGAGCGATTTTAGTTAAAATAGGTGAAAATCTTCAGTTAATAAACCCTCAAAGTGCCAAGTGATAACATAGCTAAAAGGGGAGAACAATAAGAAGATTAAAATAATATATTTACACTAAAATACATGTGCCACAAAAATATTGTTATAGGGACTAATTCAGGACAGCCATCGTCCAAATATTTAAAAAGTCCAAAACTATGTACTCAAGACATGTGAGACTTTATTGTAATATATATATATGATGCTAAGCTGTATTTTTTATCACTACTGTACATCCTTATCACTATGTCTTGTGTTTTTGTTTGTCATGTAACTAAAGACGTTTGAACTCAATTATGCCTTCGACTTCATCAACGCACACTTCATCTTAATTATGAGCTAATTCCCCAGTTGACGCATATATCCACGCGTTGACAACATGTTCAGAACAACATGCACGTCATATATATGCAGCCACATATATCCTGTGGCGCTGTAGACCCTTGTGTTGCCTGTATTTAATTTGTTCCGGTAATAAATATTGTAAACCAGCTTTATGTGGCTGAGATACTTAGGAAAGACAAATTGTCAAAATTTATCAATGCACATCAGTCTATGTCTGTGCTGAAATCAATTATGTCGATAAGGCACCACATTTACAGTAAATCTATTCACCACAAGTGTTCACGTAAACTCATGTTGTTGAAAATCTCATCTGTGATAACATTCATCGCAAGCTGGATGCGCGACCGTAAAAATGGCATTGTTTAACTTTCTTTCATGTTTCAAACAATACTTCGTTGTGTATCACTATGTCATCTGTGTAAGGTATATATTAATCCTATTAATAATATTACACAAGTGATAAAATAACCTTTCAAGTAAACTGCGGACATGTCACGCGTATCTCCTACAACCAAGTAGGACGGGCGTTAGTGCTGCTGTCTCACAACCCCGGGATACAAATCTAGATTTCCGAAGCTCTCTTAGCGATAAGATTGTCGTAAGTTAATGTTAATGTATGGCACTTACGACTATCTTAGCGCTAAGAGAGCTTCGAAAATCTAGGCTAAGGTGTGTAAAAGAGGAAAAGACCCCTACTTGTTGGACCTGCGTTTAACAGTACATGTACATGACGTCATTTAAGTCAATATAATAGGACATGTTTGTTTCCATCAATTCAATTTGTGTGTGTGCGTGTGCGTGTGAGTGTGTGTGTCTTTTCAGACACTAAGCGTCAGTCTATGCAATGGGGTAATGAAGGTTTTAGAATGGTACCTCACCTCCGTAGTAGGCTTGGAACAGTTTCCTCGTTGTCATGTTCTTCATCTGCGTCAGATCTCCAGCTGCAAGGGTGGTGTTGGGTCTCGGGTTGGCCTCAAAGTAGGCGGCTACAGCCTTCAGAATCCCCATCTCTGTAATGTCTGCATGAGTCCATGTTCCATCTCCTATGTCGACACTTGACAGTCTGCTGGGGAAAAAGGAGTATACTCTGTCAGAACAGAGAATTAACAACAAGCTTGTTACGAGACGCATGTCGACAGATGTCTTCAAGAGCACAAGAAGGTTGGTGTGCAGTCATCCGATGTCCGTAACTGCTATGTAAACTGGGTCATGTAAACTGGTTCCATGTAGTTTCGCCATATACTCGAGTAATTACAAACCCGAACGTGAAGTAAATATCGTTTATTTGCTAACCCTTCCTTGCCTAAAATGATTCCTACATGGCATCAATCAGAAACTCATTCTCACAATTACCCATCACGCATTCTCTCTCCCATCATTCAGCAATCTCGCACATAATACCCCACTCCAGTGGGCCAGACCAGGGATAGACCTCATGCTCATCGATCTACTCATTTGGGAAGCAATGACATGCACCAAACAAGTCAACGAGTCTGTCAAGGTTTTCTGCTGTATTCGCTTCTTACGATAAGCATGGGTTGCTCAAGACCAGAGAAGATAGCTCGTTCAACATGCGTCTCGTAACTAGCTTCTTGCCGAGTGTCTGCTCTGAGGGCGTAAACTCCTTTTTCTCCCAGCAGACTGCGAGGTGTCGACATGGGAAATGGAACATGATGAGAGAGTAGTGCTGGTATTGGCATACAACCTTCGATACGATACATCACTATACTAAAATTTTAGTCACGACGATATATTGCCCAAGTATTGTGCACTTAAGCTGCGATACGATACGAATCCGGATATAAGGATGGCGATACGATAAGCCTTTTCCCTTGACAGATATCGCGATTCGGCAGTATTCAAAGTTAAACATCGATGTATTGTGGCCCATTTGATTATCGTATGGGGATATACAACAATGTAAAACATTGTACCGATTCACTGTATCGGTACCATGGATCGATGCATCGATGCGTATCGATGAATCGTCACACCCCTATGAGAGAGTGAGTTAAATTTTACATGGCATCGGCAATATTGGCCCCATGCAGCGACGAGAACAAGTTGACTATAAATATATGTCTGTCTACAAAGGACAGTAAAACAATATGTTTCGTATCACAGTTATGGTATAAAACAAACCTTCCAGTAATAAGCCTCTAATACACCTTCCTGGGGATCAAGGGGAAGATGGACTCATCCTGACATTACAGAGATCGCAATTCTGAAGGCTGTAGCCCAGCTTTTGTTACTATTATTACAGTCTAACGTCTGTACATTACCCCCTCTGAGTTATTGTGACATCACGACTTGGCGCCCCACTAAGTAATGATTACGCTGCCTTTCAGTCGTTTGGTCGCCGAGTGTACATTACACGAGATGGCCACTCACATCGCATGTTGTGCATGACTTCGTATGAATACTGGTAGTAGCCTAGCCCCTCTGTCACTGTCGACAAATGAAATTTCAGTTATCCCGGGAAGTGGACAAACTGAGTCCCGGTTTGTAGACAGGTGCTGTACCGCTTTTGTCGACTTCCCGGGTAGTGTTTAGATAATTAAGTAGTGATGTTTTGAGAGTAGTTGCCTGTGAACTTACAGGTTCAACAGGTGCTGTACTCCTCTTGTTGACTTAGGTTTTGTCGGGTAGTGTTTATATATTAAGTAGTGATGTTTTGAGAGTAAATGATATACTCCAGTGAGTATATAATTAGTGTTTAAATATCAATCTTTTTACATTTTAAGAACAAAAGAACAAAGTCAATGATAATCCTTTGCTCAAATCTCATGACTTTGGATTGTTTTAGTAAATCGGCTATTGAGTTAAAGCAATTAGTATCGTTGGTGAATATAAGTCAGTTGCAGAATGAATTCATCACCAAGTGCGAAATCGGCTAGTTGTGCTGGTTAAATCTCCAAAGACGAACGAACGAACGAATTCATCCTATCATTATGGCGAATTTTACACGTGTTGATCATGCTCGTTTTATGCTTTATATTTGTTTGAAACATTTCGCATATTCAGATTCCATTGAATGTTTAAACCAGTGCTAATCCTTGTTGTGTTCGCTGTTTGCCTATTAGATTAAGTCAGTGGGGGGTGAAACCAGCCAAGCGCAACAATAGTCCGCGATGCCCGCAGAGTCGACACCAATTTTAGGTGGTAAATCTTCATTTGTCGACTTCTCGGGCGTGAACCCCCATGAATCTGCACGTGCACTCGATTCACACTCTGGACAGAACCTCAGGTTCAAGTGGACTGATGACTGCTTGCCAAGCTATCTATGATGTAAATCAATCAGTTGAATCGTTTACTAATGCCTTACTCAAGGCTGCTGACTTTACAAAGAAACGCTGCAATAACTATACTAAATCTAACCAGCCATGGTTTGATTACGAATGTAACTTCCTTAGGTTAGAAACCCAAAGATTGTTAAAAATATTCAGAAGGGTTAAATCTGACATATCCCGACAATCATATGTCGATTGCAGAAACAAGTACAATGATACTTTACGAAACAAGAAAAGACTCTACAATATGTCAATAAAGGACAAATTACTACAGAATATATATAATGCAAAAATATTCTGGAATACGCTTAAAACATATACAGCCCCCAGAGCGAAAATGAGCAATGTTGATATTCATGTATGGTTTTCCTTTTTTAAGAACTTGTATCAAGACAAAAGCACTGTGTCTGATCATGCCGAGCCCCATATTAGTGAATGTTATTTTGATTATGACGTTGATGACATAACATGTACTATATTAGATTCACCCATTACTAGGGACGAAATATCTGAGGCTATTCTTAAGCTTAAATCTTCAAAGTCGCCTGGTGAAGATAATTTATTGCCGGAGTTTTTTAAGCATTCAATGGATATTTTATTACCGTATATGGAGCTATTGTTCAATATTATGTTCGAGTCCTCCACTTTTCCAGACAGCTGAAGTACAGCAATTATTGTACCTTTATTTAAGAAGGGTGATCGTAATGATCCAAATAATTACAGGGGAATATCCCTTCTTAGTACTTTCAGCAAAATATATACATCTGTACTTAACAATAGAATAACATTTTGGGCAAATACATACGAAAAGGTTGTGGAATCACAAGCGGGGTTTAGGGAATGTTATAGTACAATTGATCATATTTTTATTCTACAATCTGTTATCCAACGTTATCTATGTAAGAAAAAGGGGAAGTTCTATGCTATATTTGTCGATTTCAAAAAGGCTTTTGATTTTGTTAACAGGGATAAACTATGGGCCATTCTCAAATATAGAGGCGTTTCACCTAAGATGCTTAAAGCCTTAACTTCTATCTATAAGTGTGTTAAGGGACAGGTGCGTGATATTTCTCTCTCTCAGTTGTTTAATTGCCCACAGGGTTTGCGACAAGAGTGTGTTTTAAGCCCGCTATTGTTCTCATTCTTTATCAATGAATTAGCTCTAGAAATTGAATCCACATGTTACCCAGGTGTACAGCTTCACCCTGATGTTGTACAAATGTTCCTACTACTTTTTGCTGATGATATTGTACTTTTGCAGACTCTGTATTTGGGTTTACAAAAACGTATAAATATTTTAGAAAGTTTCTGTAAAAGTCATCAATTAACTGTTAACTTGGAAAAAACCAAGATTGTTGTATTTAAAAATGGTTGTAAATTATCAAAATATGAAAAATGGCATTTCAATGGAATTCTTTTGGAAACTGTTTCATCTTACAAATATTTGGGTATTTTATTTGCACGTTCTCTATCTTGGTCTCCCCATGTGAATAACGCTGCTTTGCAAGCTAAGAAAATGGCATACGGAATTCTAAAATCTCTTTATACGTTTAATCCACTTCCTTATGATTTATTTTTAAGATATTTGATACAAAAATTAGTCCGATTCTTTTATATGGAGCCGAAATATGGGGAGTTGATAACTTTAAAGAAGTCGAAGTTGTACATATGTTTTGTTGTAAACGTTTTTAAATGTCAAACGGTCGACTTCGAACCATGTAGTTAGGGGAGAATGTGGCCGTTATCCAATGTATGTATGTATATATAAAAAGTTGTTAAATATTGGTGTGAAATATGCAAAATGCCCGATTCCAGATTTGTAAAGAAATGTTATAACATGTTAGTTTTAGACTCTGTAAATGGTAAAACAAACTGGGCATCAAAAATTAAGAATATTCTTTACTCTTTTGATTTGGCTTTATGTGGGAACAGCAGCAAAATTTATGTAATGTCGATAAATTCATATCAGAATTTGTTTTAGATTAAGAGCAAGTTATGAACAAGAATGGCACACATCGCTTTTAAATAGTCCTAAATTTTCACTTTATTCTTGTTTTAAAATCTCATTTAATGTTGAATTTTACATAAAAGACTTATCAATTTCAAAATTCCGATCGGCCCTTGCTAAATTCAGATGTTCTTCACACCGCCTCCAAATTGAAACCGGTCGCTATATTAATCAACCCAGATCAAACAGATTATGTTTTGTATGTAAAGATAACTTTATTGAAAATGAATTCCATTTTATTTTGGTATGTAAATGTTATCAAAATCTGAGATGTTTGTATTTACCACATAACTTTTATTCGAATCCCACTATTCATAAGTTCAATATGCTCATGTCAACTGGCAATCCATATACTGTAAGAAACCTAGCTATTTATATACACAATGCAATGAAACTTAGAGATTCACTTCTTTGCCAATAATATCATACTTCCTTTTGTATACTTTGTAAATTAACTTATCGTCTTCTAAACTATATATGCTCATATGTACCGCTCTGAAATCCTGAAGTGTAGCCTGGGCCTATGGCCTCCACTACAAAGAAAATAAAGATTCAAAGAATCTGTATGGAACAAGTTTTTATGGATAACAACTTCTTTATTTCGTGAGTGCGACGTTTCGATACAGATTCTTGTACCGTTGTCAAGCAAACTGTGCCAAGGAATCTGTGCCAAGGGATCGCACCAGGATTGAAATCACCCAACCGTAAAATGGTGATAGGTAAAGAGGACCTGTAGTTTAAAACTTGTCTACGTCAGTTAGGTTCAAGTATTCAGAATATGTCCCTCTGGATTCATATTATTGGAAATTATGTCTTTATGGTTATGTAAGTTGGAACTGTTAATAGCTTTAGGAAGATAGTCACAAATACTTTGAAAATGTGTCCCACGATTGTTTCTAGATACAAACGTAATTCCCCATTTTCAGTGAAAACATCGAACTTCAGTGATCGACGAGTCGTTTATTAATGTAGACAGGAAATCTGTTTCAGCAATATCACAACAATCAAAATATTTTCAATGCATATGCAAATTTTCAGCAGCGATAAAAAGCACCTTCATAGTTAATTTTTAATGTTAATTAACCATAGGTACAAGACTTATGTGTTGTGAGGAGTTATATCCCTTTACTCAGGGCACAGATGCACGAACAGGTCTAGAGATCCTGGCTAGGTCTCTCAGCAGGGAAGGCAATTAAGCCAGACAGTGAGTGCATCGGGTCCTCTGTAATAACACTGTATGTTATTTAATTGCGATTCACAATTTTAACAAAATAAACATTGTATTCCAAGAGATGTATTTACAACATAAGCACTCACAAATCAGAATCACATGACATTGCATTATACACAATACATTTCA